ATTTTGAAATAAATAATGTTAGGACATAATGCATACAATATTTCTTATTTGAGTAATAACAAACTCTTATTTGGTACTAATAATAGTTTGAGATTATATAGTATAGATGAATACAGACATTGGAAGTGTACAAGGTGAAGCGTCGCAAAAATCAACTCAAACGCTGTTTTCAACCATCCAACCATCGATGGTTAGCGGAGACCCATTGATGGTTGTAAGGTAATCGATTGCTACAAGAATCGATTGATAAAATTTCAGAGACAGAATATTAACCATCTATGGAATGCAGGAAGCCATAGATGATGCATAGGAACCCATCGAATGGTCCTAAGCAACCATTGATAGTAAAGTTGGCTGATTGTAGATTTTCACTTTTAATCTCAATTGTTCGTCATTCCTTCTAATCTTCAAAATCTACCATGATTAGGATATCTTTTTCCTGGTCTATTGAAGGCTATATATCATTGAAAGAGATAAAGAAGAGAGAATTTTAGGGTTTTAATTTGAGAAAAGATTATATTGAAGGTTTTTACCCAGAGCCACGAATAACTCTTTCTCGTCGCACATTATAGCTCCAGATCATTTCAATGAGGAGAGTTCCCCTTGGATTCATCATCTACACTATTCTTCATCGTGTCATACTCAGATTCATCAACAGATGGTTTGTTTATCAAAAAGGCTATAAGATCTTTCATATTTTCTAAGCTTAATTGTTTTTTGTTGTGTTTCAAACTTATTTTTACAGTATACTCAAGTAGTGTTAATTTAGGGCTGAGACAAGCTAGAGCTAGGTTTTTACTCATTATGGGGAATTAAGGTTAAACGACTAGTTTCGGGTAGATTTCAGAGTGTGGCCTTTGTAAAGCCTACTAAATCACGTTGTTGTTGGCCTCTTTGTTTTGATGATGTTTAACAAACAATTTACCACTAATGTTGTTTGTCTAGTGTTGGTATATTTCTATTTATTATAGACAAACAACGAGTTGGAGGATGGATGGAATAGAGCTTCAACGATCATATCCAAAGGAGGTTGGCGGAATATCGGTGAAGCCTTGCAATTCAAAGTTAAAGATCAAGTTCAAGCTTCATCCGCAATATATGATTTCATCTTTAACAAGCTTATATTTAATGAAATCATATTTAGTGTTTTGAATATATTGCATAGAATATGCAAATTTATGAAAATATTGTATTTCTAGATTATAGACTTCATAACAACATGTTATATCTTTTATCAAGTCTATACAATCATTTCATAAGGTTTCAAAATGTTGTTTAAGTCAAAATATCAAAATATCAATTTTCAGGTTTTCATGTTTTTGGACTATTTTGTAAAATGATGATATTTTTCATTTGGGAGGTCCTTTCTGATAACCAGTCACTGTAGCATGTTTATTATCATGTTTACAATCATTCCCCAAAGTTTTACATTTTTTGGAATTTGTTTGATATTTTTAAACAGTGTTTTAAATTCAGAAAAACAGCTTTCAGAATCAGTTTTCTGTTATATCAGTTTTCGGTCGACCGCACCGGTCGACCGCTCGTTTGTTCTTTTGTCAGCATGCAGCAGAGAGTTGGTCGGTCGACCGATGCGGTCGACCGAGAGCTCCATCGGTCCACCGCACCGGTCGATCGACGATGGTCCAGAACAATTCTTCGTGTTTTTGTTCTCCGTCGGTCGACCGATATTTCCGCCGGTCGACAGGCTTTTTCAGCTTCCAACGGCTAGTTTTATTACCGTTGCTGGGGTTGTTTTTGTCTTTTGACTTGGGATTTTCAGTTGAGTTTTGGATGATATAAATACTCTCTTTGATCTCAGTTTTCAAGTAATCCAAGAAGTTTTTAAACAAGGGTTTAGGGTTTTACTGTTTGTTTGAGTTTGGGTTTCTGTTTACAAAGGAGGAAGTTTTCACTGCAGATTGAGGGATTCATTCTCAATCCTCTTCATCCTCTTCTTTGTGTTCATAGAGAAGTTTTCTAACTCTTTTCTCTAGCAATTTTATTATTGATTTTCATATTCTTATTATTGCTAGTTTGCTATTTGAGTTAGATTTTATTTTATCTATTTTCTCTATGTTTATACACACAACCATTTGAGCTTATTGTATTTACATTCATAGTATAATTGGGTTGTGGGATTGTGTAACTTAGAGAGTGAGCTTATAATTCGTTCTCATTCATTGTAGAGAACAAACACTTTGTATTGAGCCTAATTGTGAGGATTCACTTGTAATACACTTGTACACCGAGAGAAGTGTGGGGTGAGAGACGGGGTCGAATCCAAGAGGAGTGGTGTCGGTTGACGTGCCTAGGGAGAGGTTGTAACCGAGCACTTGAGGAGAAGGACACGGGCTAGGACCAACACTTAGTGTGTGAGGTGTGATTGCATAGTGATTGTATTGTGAGGTGTAAACGTTGTTCGGGTGAACGTAGAAAACCCGGTTGTGATAGTGGAGATCTCCTCGAGGTGAGGAGCGGAGACGTAGGTCGTGGGGACCGAACTCCGTAATCATATTGTTTGTTTGTGATTGCATTGGCGCACTTCCTTTTATATTCATGTCTTATATCGCCTTTGTATATTGCTTGTTGATTATATTGCCCACTATCTAGTTTAGATTGTTTACCCTTGAGTTTATATATCCTTGCACATACATTGCATATATCTCTTTGTTAGGATATATCTTGTTATTCATATTACTTATCCTAACTCATATACATTGTTATATTTCATACTTGCTAGGATAACTTATTAATTAATTTTAATTGGCATTTAATCGGATTATATTAGCATAAGACCCTAATCATTAGCATAGTGAGGAAGGTCTTTTGTGAGAAGAAAGAGTGAACATAGGATTATTATTTACGCCACTATAAAATCTTGCATGTCATTGGTTGTTATTTGTAGTTAATTATCATTATTCTAGTCCTTTCTTTTGCATATTCTGTGTTTTTAGTGAAAAATGGTAGCAACCCTCTTCAGTGTCCTTTACGCTTGCATCTCAGATCCAACAAATAATATCAGAGCCTAGTTATGCATATTTAGGATTCACAATCTAGGGTATAGATGTCTAGTTTGACTGTCATAATGGCTTTTTCTAATGGTCGTGTAGTTAACCAATCCTCGCTTTTCGATGGGACAAACTACACCTATTGGAAAGCGCGTATGAGTTTTTTCATTGTCACAAAATTATGACGTTTGGAATAGTATAGAGAACGACTATAGTGAACCTACTGCCATTGCAGGAGATACTACCATAGGTACTCCAAGAGATAAGTGGACCACGAATGATAAAAATACTTACTCTTTAAATGCAAAATCTATGAATGCTCTTTATTAAGTGTTGAAAAACTTAATCGTGTGCCAAATTGTTTTGTTGTGCAGTAAATCTGGAAAACTTTAGAATTTACATATGAGAAAATTTTATAGATGAAATAAATGGAACTTACAATGATTGTAAGTAGTATGATAATTCCAAGATAAATGCCTCAAAGAATGTTCATGATATGTTCACCCAATTCACGGACATTGTGAACAAATCAAAAGCTTTGGGAAAGGAGTACAATAACAAGGAACTTGTGAGAAAAATTCTCTATTCTCTTTCTAGGGATCAAGAATCAAAGGTAACGACTATCAAAGAATTACAAAATTTTTCTAAATTAACTCTTGAAAATCTTATAGGAAATCTTCTCACTTATGAAGTGCGACTTAAAGAAAGAGAAGATAATTCAGAGAAGAAGTCGTCAATCTTGAAAGCATAAATTGGAGAAATCCCTAATCCACGAAGAAAGAGTCAAGCTCAAGTTCTAAAAATGAAAATAGTCAAGTAGGACTCATCGTAAAAGGATTCAAATCTTTACTCAGAACAAAAAAGGAAAAGAAATACCTGCAAAATACACATAAGCAATATACAAATAAGATAAATAAATATTCACTTAGTGGATCTGAAATTGGGCCTATTTGTTATCGTTGCAATAAACAAACCACTACGAAAAACAAATGCACATTGAATAAGGAAGAAAAGAAGATGGAGGGCAAGAGTTTGAAGGCGACAACCTAGGACATCAGAATCAGAAGTTGGCTCGAGTGAGGATGAAAAGAAAGCAAATTTATATCTTATGGTGAGAAACAATGCAACTTTGGATTTAGAACAAGATGAAACATGCGATTTTGAAAGTGAAAGTTCAAAGAATGAGGTATGTTCTTCATACTGTTAGAATTAATATAAAACTACAATCCTTGATCATCACCATAACTTTGGAGTTTTTGTCTAATGGTTAGAGGAACTAAATTTAAGATGGTATAAGAGCAACCCAGGTTCAAATCCCACAGGACACGAATTAAATACGGATTTTCTAAAAATTGACACCGCTACGTGAGTCCAGGTTTCGACCCATAAAAAAGGGCTCAACCTGCGGGCGCATGTAAGAATTAATATAAAAGTATAATCCTTGATCATCACCATAACTTTGGAGTTTTTGTCTAATGGTTAGAGAAACTAAATTTAAGACATACAACGAGTAATATTCCAATTCTAAAGAGATGCTAATCTAATTTGAGAAAATTGGTAAAAAAAAATATAAAGTGACAAAAAAAGTGAATGCAAATTTGAGAAAAGAATAGAAAACCTTACATGAGAAAGTTGAATCTCTTTTCCTAAATTTGAATTTACATAATTTACCTTGCGATATCATCACAATTTATTACATACAATGTTCAATTTTTCAAGATTAGAATTTCTATTTGTCTAAGCAACTAGATGAAAAAATCAGTGAGAATGAAAAATTGGCTGCTAAGGTAAACGAATTATTGTGTGAATTGTCTTCTGAACAAAATAAAGTTTGAAACTAAAGGCACTACTATTATTTCTAAAACTAAACAACTAAAGTCTAAAAATATTGACTTGGAATTTTTTTTTATTAGGTTCTAAAGGCTTAAACATGGTCCTTTCCGATCAATGGTTTGCGAAAACTAAAACTAAATTTGGTTATAAATATTCAGGAAACCATAAAAAGTTTCAACCTTCATTTGTAAAGGAAAATAATTTAAGCTGTTTTGCACCCATTTCTAATGCATCATCCACTATATGTACCTTATGTGGTAAAGTAGGATCGGTCGACTCACAAGAAGATGCAGACGGCTTCATCTATATGGATCAAACTTTCCAAATTAGTCTGCCGTGTCACGAGCATTAAGCTCTTCGGTAACATTTGCAACAACAGAAGCATTTTTCGGAAGGGCTTTCCCAACATGTGCAGGAAGTTCCATAGATAGTAAACGAGCTTTCACAAACTGCAATCCCTGTAACACAAATACAAGCAATGGAATGACCAGTCGCCTTCCTGGGGTTGTAGGATGTTGTGCGCGGCGGAAGCTTTCTAGGGCAACACGAACAATAACTCGAACTAAACCACAAACAATATGCAAACCACAATCACAGCAAGAACAAAGAATTTACGTGGTTCGGCAAGTTGCCTACATCCACGGGGCAAGGAGGGGGGAGATTTTACTACTAGAAATCAAGGGAATACAAATAGGGTTACAAATCTCTCAGACCAAACCCTAAAACAAAGCACTTGATCTCTCAAAGCTCTCCCACAATTGGATGCCACAAATCTCTCTTAGAGGCTGCTCAAAATCGTCCTTCAGATACCCTAACAAATCAGGTTTAGGATATATATAGCTTACAAAACGAAACGGGTCAAAAAACCTGAAAGCCCAGCCCAGAGATTCCCAGTAGGGTTTGTGCACGTTTGCGGTCGACCGCGCCGGTCGACCGCCAAACTCTCTGCTGAATTTCTGAGTTTCTGTAATTTCTTCAATTCTCCACCTCGGCGAATGTTTCCACCAAAACTGAGCCGACACTGAATCATCCAATAGTTCCTCAACAGGTCCAGGAACAAAACTCGAGCTGAAACGCGATCTCCCCCCATCTGAATCAACTGATCAAACCGGCTGCATCTGAAAGACTGCCTACGTATCCTCTTGCCCAAGGAATCAAGCCGAACGTAGTTCATCCAAATGGCCTCCAAAGGCCTCAGCACTGAAGGATGTCCAAAAGCTTCAAACAATGACCAAATTTCACACCTGAAACAACTTTGGTCAACATATCTACAGGGTTATCATTTGTGTGGACCTTCTCCAATATGACATCTCCATCATCCAAGACGTCCCGAACAAAGTGAAATCTGACGTCGATGTGCTTCGTGCGCGCATGATAAACCTGCTTCTTCGCCAAATAGATAGCCGACATACTATCACAATATATCCGAATAGTCTCCTGAGCAATCCCCAAGTCCTCCAATAATCCACGCAACCATAAAGCCTCCTTAATTGCTTCAGTAACCGCCATATACTCTGCCTCTGTAGTAGAGAGAGCCACTGTGGACTGAAGCGTGCAACGCCAACATACAGGTGCACCTGCCAATGTAAAAGCATAACCTGACGTAGACCGGCGTTTGTCAAGATCTCCAGCATAATCTGAATCCACATATCCAATACAGTCATGCCCATCCTTCTCATCCTTCTGAAATACTAAACCAACATCCACGGTTCCTCGAACATACCGTAGAATCCACTTCACGGCCTCCCAGTGACCCTTCCTGGGGTCATGCATGTATCTCGATACCATGCTCACGGCCTGTGACAAATCTGACCTCGTACACACCATCGCATACATCAAGCTACCTACTGCACTAGCATATGGGACCTTCGACATATAATCTCTGTCCTCAACTGAAACAGGTGACATCAACGCTGAAAGCTTGAAGTGGGGAGCCAATGGTGTGCTAACTGCTTTTGCATTGCCATCAAAGCTGAATTTCTTCAACATCTTCTGCAAGTAGCTCTTCTGTGTAAGCTTCAATTTCCCCTTCACCCTGTCTCGCTCGATCTCCATACCCAATATCTTCTTTGCCTCTCCAAGATCCTTCATCTCAAACTCGGATGATAACTCCTTTTTCAGCTTTCGAATAGCTGAAGAATTCCTGGAAGCAATAAGCATATCATCAACATATAAAAGCAAATATATGAGCTCACCATCCTGTAGCTTGTGCATATAAACACATGGGTCATATGGGCTCCTTGTGTACCCTCGGCCAATCATAAAGCCGTCGAATCTCTTATACCACTGTCTTGGTGACTGCTTCAAACCATAAAGAGACTTCTTCAGCTTACAAACCAAATTTTCCTTTCCTGCAGCTTTGAAACCCTGTGGTTGTGTCATGTAGATCTCCTCATCTAAATCACCGTGTAGAAAGGCTGTCTTCACATCCATCTGGACCAAATCCAAATCCAACTGTGCCACCAACGCCAATAAAATCCGAATCGACGAATGCTTCACAACGGGTGAAAATACCTCGTTGTAATCAATGCCCTCAAGCTGTGCATATCCCTTGGCAACTAATCTGGCTTTGAACCGAATGTCCCCAATAGAAGATCCCTCCTTCTTCGCATATACCCACTTGCAACCAATAGCTTTCTTACCCTTAGGTAGATGTGCAAGTGTCCAAGTGTCGTTCTTCTGAAGAGACCGCATCTCCTCCTCCATAGCTTCCCTCCACCTGATCGAATCGGGGCTAGACTCTGCCTCCCTGAATGTGGCTGGAACCATATCATCAACGACCTCCACTGATAATGCATATGCGACCATGACATCATTATACCTAGCTGGCCGACGAATCTCTCTCCTCGGTCTATCTGCTGCAATGGTCCTCTGAACATGACCCTGTTCCTGAGTCCCATGATCTACTGTATCCTGTATCTGCCCATCTGTCATCTCATCTCCTCCCAGTGTCACCTCTGTAGGAGCCTCAATGGATACAGTGTTCTCTGGAGTGGGTGGAGTCACATCATCCTCCACCTGCTGTGATATCTCTCCTGTCTGGTCTCCCTCCACCTGCTGAGGGGCTCGAGGCCTCATCATGTACGCCTCGTCAAATGTGACATCTCTGCTAATAACTATCTTCTTGTCCTGTGGATCCCATAACTTGAAGCCTTTGACTCCATCTCTAAATCCCACAAAGACTGCTTTCCTCGCTCTCGGATTTAATTTACCATCACTGACATGATAATAAGCTGGACACCCGAATATCCGAAGCGACTCATAGTCACTAGCCACCGAACCAAACCAACGCTCCAAAGGAGTCTTCCCGTCTATCGCAGTGCACGGTAATCTGTTCACGAGATGGCTCGCATAAACTACTGTCTCGGCCCAAAAAGATCTAGGCAATCCACTCTGTGTCATCATACACCACACCTTCTCCAGCAAGGTACGGTTTAATCTCTCAGCCACCCCGTTCTGTTGCGGTGTCTCTCGAACTGTGAAGTGTCTTCTAATGCCGTGATCCCGGCAAAACTGCAGAAACGGATCACTCTTGTACTCTCCACCGTTATCTGAACGTAGAGTCTTCACCTTTCTACCTGTCTGCAGCTCCACTTTCTTTTTCCACTCCACAAAAATATCCAGGACCTGATGTTTATGCTTCATCGGGTATACCCAATTCCTCCTGGAATAATCATCAATGAAAGTGACAAAATAGTTGGCCCCACCAAGAGATGTGTTCTTGGAAGGACCCCAAACGTCTGTGTGAATATAATCCAATGTACCTAGGGTGTTATGAACAGCGGTGCCAAACTTCACTCTAGTCTTCTTCCCAAGTACACAATGCTCACACAATTCCATCTTGCAGGTCTTAGCACCTTTCAATAGCCCCTGTTTAGCCAATGACTGTAGGGACTTATCTCCTGTGTGTCCAAGTCTCATGTGCCATAAGGTGGTAGTGTCCTCCTCTGTAGTGATAGAAGTTGTCAGACCTCTTGTAACTGTCTTGTCTTTCAAGTAGTATAGGTTGTTTTCCCTGACACCTCGCATCACCACCATAGAACCCTTCGTGACCTTCACTGTAGCATCCTCTAAGATCACTCGATATCCTGCTGCCTCCAAAGTTCCAAGAGAAATGATGTTCTTCGTCAACTGTGGCACGAACCTCACTTCCTTCAATTCCCTCACTACACCATCATGCATCCTGATCCGGACTGAACCAATACCACCAATAGGACATACGTGGTCATTACCCATAAGCACGGCATCCCCTCTTTCCAGCTCCTCAAAGCTAGAGAACCACTATCTCTTAAGGCAGATGTGATATGTAGCTCCCGAATCCATCATCCACTCCGTGGAATCCGCATAGCAAACCGACGGTAAAGCAGGGCATGAATAGCCTGAAGAGTCTGAATCTGAATGCTCACCAATAGCTTTTGCAGCATTCACTTCTGAAGCTTGTGCAGCTTTCCCCTTATTCTTCCCGGCTTTTTCTTTCCACTTTGGGCAGTCAATCTTCCAATGTCCTTCTTCTTTACAATACCGACATTGATTTCTACCAACACTCTTATAGGCACTCCTATTCTTTGACTTTGAGCGGTTGAACTGACGACGGTTTGGATCTCGGCCTCGAACTGCTAACGCATCTCCCGATGCCTTCTCGGAGGATTCACCATCACTCTTCCTCAACTCATAGTTCACCAAAGCTGAGGTCACCTCCTTGTAGCTAACTGTAGTTCTTCCATTGATCATAGTGAGAACGAACGTACCATAATCATCTTCGGGCAACGAACACAGAAGTAGCATCGCCTTGTCTTCATCCTCAACTATAATATCAACATTGGCCATATCTGAAAGTAGCTTAGTGAAATTGTTGACATGCTCCCTGATGGAAACCCCTCTCTTCATCTTGAACTGGTAAAATCTCTTCTTCAAGTGAAGCCGATTCTCAATGCTCTTCGTAAGATATTTCTCATTGAGTGTTTCCCACATCTTCTTCGCCGACGTCTCGTTCATAACATCATAAATAAGATCCGGCGTCAAGCATGACCTAATAACACCACAAGCTCTACTGTTCATCTTTCTCCAAACCTTATCCTCCAACTCAGCGGGTTTCTCTTTTAACTCAAGAGTCTCCTCCAAATTCTGTGCATCCAAAGCATCCATCACCTGACACCTCCACAATCCAAAATTGATCTTGCCATCGAACTTCGGAACATCAATCTTCGTGTTATTGATGCTCAGACTCTGTATCGCCTTTGTTAGAGACGAACCTGACGTGCTTGCATCTCCCATGTTGTCGATCTAGCTCTGATACCAATTGTTGTGCGCGGCGGAAGCTTTCTAGGGCAACACGAACAATAACTCGAACTAAACCACAAACAATATGCAAACCACAATCACAGCAAGAACACACAATTTACGTGGTTCGGCAAGTTGCCTACGTCCACGGGGCAAGGAGGGGGGAGATTTTACTACTAGAAATCAAGAGAATACAAATAGGGTTACAAATCTCTCAGACCAAACCCTAAAACAAAGCTCTTGATCTCTCAAATCTCTCCCACAATTGAATGCAACAATCCTCTCTCCAAGGATGCTCAAATTCGTCCTTGCCTTAACCCTAAACAATCAGGATTTGAGTTATATACAACTCAGAAATGAAACGGGTCAAAAACCGAAAGGCCCAGCCCAGATCATCGTCGGTCGACCGCGCAGGTCTCGCGGTCGACCGCACCGGTCGACCGAATCATCAAACCCGAGAGCAGAAAATCCTACAGTCATCCGCGGTCGACCGCACCGGTCGACCGCCACCATCTTCGGTCGACCGCACCGGTCGACCGCCACCAGCTCTGCTTCCCAGTAGAGTTTGTGCACGTTTGCGGTCAACCGCGCCGGTCGACCGCCAAACTCTCTGCTGATTTTTCTGAGTTTCTGTAATTTCTTCAATGCAGGAAACTCAGCACTTGACGATTCACTGGGATGTGACAATGGCCCTGGAAAAGAAAGATATGGGAGGGAAATTTTTTCAAACAAGCAGACAGAGATGGGAGGGAAATTTCGAAAGTATTTTTGCTTTTTACTGAAGTACTAATTTAGGTGCAAAAGGACCAAGTAGAGACCACAATATCTAATGAAAAAGATATCTACCTTTCCATTCATAATCAATAAACAACTTACCGTTAGTTTGTAAAAGTTCATAAAAGCTGGTGAAGTTTACAGAAATACAAATATTCCCAAATTTAATTTGTGGGTACTACTTTATAAATTGTTCAGCAAGTTGATTTTATATGATCCAACAAGAATTCTAATAGAACTTAATGATGACTGCAAAAACAGATTTGATGGAAATAAAATAATCAGGATGATAAAGTTGAATAGGAAGTTCGATTCTTTTCTAGCCCAGCGAATCCAAATGTAACATACCTGCATCTGTGAAACATATTGCTTTGGTCAATCAAACAGCCTGTTTACTGTCTAAAGCGAGCAAACCATACATACATCTTGTATGTTGTGCGCGGCGGAAGCTTTCTAGGGCAACACGAACAATAACTTGAACTAAACAACAAATAATATGCAAACCACAATCACAGCAAGAACAAGAATTTACGTGGTTCGGCAAGTTGCCTACGTCCACGGGGCAAGGAGGGGGGAGTTCTTTCTACTAGAAATCAAGAGAATACAAATAGGGTTACAAATCTCTCAGACTAAACCCTAAAACAAAACTCTAGATCTCTCAAAGCTCTCTCACAATTGGATGCAATGATTCTCTCTCTTTGGCTGCTCAAATTCGTCCAACCTCTACCCTAAACAAACAGGTTTAGGTATATATAGAACTTACAAAACGAATCGGGTCGAAAACCTGAAAGCCCAGCCCAAAACAGCGTCGGTCGACCGGCACGGTCGACCGCGATCAATTCCGGTCGACCGACCAGTTCCCAGTAGAAAACCCAAAACTCCAGAGAACCCCTCGGTCGACCGCACCGGTCGACCGACCGAAACACCTGCGGTCGACTGGCCCGGTCGACCGACCTCCTTTCTGTCGCACAGTAAGCTTTGTGCATGAATGCGGTCGACCGGACCGGTCGACCGCCGCCTGGTTTGCCTGATTCTTCTGAGTTTCTGTAATTTCTTCATTGTATACTTCTGCGGCAAATCAAAAGCGTACATATTCCTATGCTGATCAACACGTATATCTTGTCTGGCGGCAGCACACATTGTGGTGTTTTTGCAAGGAAAGAATTATACATATATGGTAGTGAAGGCAGCTAGTTCTTCTTCCCTGCAAGGTAGCGAAGTCGCTGTCTGTGACGGTGCAAATACAAATTCCTGCTGACAGGAGGTCTATCAATTTTTTCGCTATAAAGGACCAATAAAACAAGTGACTAGAAGGTCCAAGTTTTCATTCTCCGAAAGATATCAGACAACACAAAGGAGTATGAATCAAAATTGCAAGGGAAAAAAAGGATAATCTTTAACAGTATTAAAAACATAATAAATGTTTGGGTATTTCACAAAACACCCTCTTTTTTATTTTTGGGGTAGGGGGTGGGGTATTTTGCACATAAGCCCCCTTACGTTTGTTTATCTCACTTAACCCCCAAAACTATGGCCATCTCACAACACACCCCCCGCCAACCCACCCAACTTTAGCCAATATCACCTAACCCCATTGACTGTAATATGCAAGTAATTTTAGAACTTTCTCGAGAGGAAAAAAACTTCAAACTTTAGGGGAAGGAGTATGTTGCTTTTAAATAACAAGTGATAAAATTTGAGAATATTTCACTCAAAGATGTTTTAGTTATTAGCAACTTACAGGCAGGGGGGTTAAGATATATAAAGCTAAAGTTCAGGGGGGGTCTTGAGTATATAAAAAATGTGTATGATTCCTGACCCAATATTTTCTTCACGTGCAAGTTGTTTGTTGTTAAAGATATATAATCTCCCTTTTTAGTAGATAAGAAATGTTTATGCAGAATGCAAGTCAATTATATCTAGTGTAAAGAAAATTTTCGGCCAGAGATCATACACATTCATTATCCAATTATGCAAGATATTTTTCTTTTTCCCCTTTTTTTTTACAAAGAGCACCTTTCAGGTGGAGGTGCTAGTATTGATAACCAAATCTGCAGTCGTGCACTGAGATCACTTACAGGATGTCTGCATTCTTTCTAAACAACTCTTAAATAACGTGTACGCATTCCTCCAATCTCATGCCATAACATTTGCAAAGCATATGAATTAAATAAAATAACATCTGCACAAAGGATAACTTACGAATAAAATGCTTTAGAATGAAGATAAACAAGATTTGGCTACGTCCAATAGACATTATTGTTAGGCGCCTAATGAAGCCAAGCACCAACCCACCCAGCAGCCAATGTTGAAAAGGAAAAAGAAAACAAAATGGTGGGGCCCACTGCTACAGTAAAATATTAATATTTTATTGTGCATAGTATTTTTTCAAAAAACTATAAATAGGGCTTCAAATCCTTAAGAAAATCTCATCCCAGAAACAACTTCTTATATAGAAGAGTGAGAGAGAAAAAATAGAGAGAGTTTCTCCTTGTAAAGAGAGAGTTTGTAACTCCAGAGTTTTCTCCTCATAGTGAATTCTTCTATCCTTGCCCATGGACGTAGGCAATCAAGTGCCGAACCACGTAAATCTGTGTGTCCAATATTTTATCTCTACTTTTGTTCTACTATTGCTGCGACCCTGCTCTATTGGGCCCCGGGTTTGTCCCAACAAGTGGTATCAGAGCCAACTTAGGGTACTTGTATATATCTACTTATCGTATGCTCTGTGGCTGCCACCAAAGGTGGATCCTCCACATCAGAAAATAAGTTAGGTTATCATTTACCCTTTGGAGGTGACGGGTACTATTCACGAGTACGGTACTGTTCACAAATATGGTACTATTCACGGATACGGTTACTGTTCATAAATACAGTACTATTTACGTGAAATAGTAAGAAGTTACTGTTCGTGGTAGAAGCAATGGCGGCGAAGTTCAAGATTGAGAAATTCGACGGGAGTAATTTCTCACTGTGGAAGTTGAAGATAAAGGCTATCTTGAGAAAAGATAATTGCCTGGCGGCCATTGGTGCAAGGCCGGACGACATCACAGATGATAAGAAGTGGAACGAGATGGACGAAAATGCTATTGCAAATCTCCATCTGGCATTAGCAGACGGGGTGCTGTCAAGCATAGAGGAGAAGAAGACAGCAAAGGAGATCTGGGATACTCTAACAAAGCTATATGAGGCGAAATCCATGCACAATAAAATCTTCTTAAAAAGGAGACTTTACACTCTGAGGATGGCGGAATCTACATCGATGACCGACCACATCAACACCCTAAACACACTGTTCTCCCAACTCACAACGTTGGGATATACAGTTGGTGCGAATGAACGTGCAGAACTTCTACTTCAGAGTCTACCTGACTCGTATGATCAACTCATCATCAACCTGACGAACAACGTCCTTACGGCAATCTAGTCTTCGATGATGTTGCAGCCGCTGTTCTGGAGGAAGAAAATCGGCGCAAGAACAAGGAAGACAGGCAGACTAGTTCGCCGCTGTTCTGGAGGAAGAAAATCGGCGCAAGAACAAGGAAGACAGGCAGACTAGTTCGCAGCAAGCGGAGGCCTTGTCGGTGACGAGAGGAAGATCAACAGAACGTGGCTCCAGTGGGAGTCATGCCCATGGTAGATCGAAATCACGAAGTAAGAAGAATATCAAATGCTACAAATGTGGCAAAAGAGGGCACGTCAAATCGGAGTGTTGGCACAACAAGAAGAGTGGAGATAAAAAGTCTTCAGTCAAATCGGAGTGTTGGCACAACAAGAAGAGTGGAGATAAAAAGTCTTCAGAGCCATCAACATCTCAAAGATGCGTTGTCAGCACGTCAGAGGATGGTGAAATTCTATTCAGTGGAGCAACCACTGTTGATGAAGGCAGAAAGAAGTTTGCTGATGTCTGGCTTCTAGATTCAGCAGCCTCTTGGCACATGACCTCTCGGAGAGATTGGTTTCACAAATATGAACCTATCTCAGGAGGATTTGTATTCATGGGCAATGATCATGCCTTGGAGATTTGTGGTATTGGTACTATCAAAATCAAAATGTTTGATGGTATAATACGCACCATTCAAGATGTGCGACATGTGAAGGGCTTGAAGAAGAATCTATTGTCTTTGGGACAATTAGATGAGCTCGGGTGCAAGACTCATATAGAAAATGGAGTCATGAAGATTGTTAGAGGGGCGCTTGTGGTGATAAAAGGAGAAAAGATAGATGCAAATATGTACATGCTCAAGGGAGAGACTCTGCAGGAAGCTGATTCATGTGTGGCATCAACCAGCCGTGGAGAAGAACAAACCATGATGTGGCATCGCAAGCTAGGCCACATGTCAGAACGAGGCTTGAAGGTTCTCTCCGATCAGAAACTGCTTCCTGGACTTAATTCGGTAGCTCTTCCATTTTGCGAGCATTGTGTTACAAGCAAGCAGCATCGACTGAAGTTCAACACATCGAGTTCTAGAAGCAAGGCTATTCTGGAACTGGTTCATTCTGATGTATGGCAAGCACCAGTTACATCCTTAGGAGGAGCAAAGTACTTTGTGTCCTTTATTGATGATTACTCCAGGAGATGTTGGGTGTATCCTATCAAGAAGAAGGCGGATGTGTTCTCAGTCTTTAAAGCCTACAAAGCGCGGGTCGAGCTTGAATCTGAGAAGAAGATCAAGTGCTTAAGGTCAGATAATGGAGGAGAATACACAGACGGTGAATTCCTAGCATTCTGCAAGCATGAAGGCATCAAAAGACAATTCAGTACGGCTTATACTCCTCAACAAAATGGAGTGGCGGAGCGGATGAACAGAACTCTGTTGGAAAGAACAAGAGCTATGTTGGCTACTGCAAATCTGGAAAAAGTCTTTTGGGCGGAAGCAGTAAAAACCGCCTGTTATGTGGTGAATCGATCTCCATCAACTGCAATACAATTGAAGACGCCGATGGAGATGTGGACTGGCAAGCCAGCTGATTATTCCAACCTCCATATATTTGGAAGTCCAGTGTACGTAATGTACAATGCCCAAGAAATTACAAAGCTGGATTCAAAATCCAGAAAATGCATATTCTTGGGGTATGCTGATGGAGTAAAGGGGTATCGCCTGTGGGATCCCACTACCCGCAAGGTTATCATCAGCAGAGATGTTATCTTTGTAGAGAACCAACTACAAAGTGAAGAGAAAGAAAGCAGTTCGAGGAAGGACTCAGAGACTGTAGCTGTTCAGGTAGAAGATAATCCGAATTCTTCTGAAGCGACACCGGAGCATGATGTACAAGAACCAGTCGAGGCCGAGGCTCCAGAAGTTCGAAGGTCAACTCGTGAGAGAAGACCACCGACTTGGCACTCGGAGTATATTACAGAGAGTAATGTTGCATACTGTCTTCTAACAGAAGATGGAGAGCCATCAACTTTTCATGAAGCTATAAATGGCACAGATGCATCTTTGTGGATGGCAGCAATGCAGGAAGAAATTGAAGCTCTCCATAAGAACAAGACTTGGGAACTTGTGTCACTGCCATAAGGAAGAAAGACCATTGGAAACAATTGGGTCTACAAGATCAAGCGAAATGGCGATGATCAAGTAGAGCGATATCGTGCTAGATTGGTGGTAAAAGGATATGCTCAGAAAGAAGGTATTGATTTTAATGAAATATTTTCTCCTGTAGTTCGACTAACAACAGCCCGAATAGTCCTGGCTATGAGCGCTATATTTGACTTACATCTAGAGCAGCTAGATGTGAAAACAGCATTTCTTCATGGAGATCTTGAAGAAGAAATTTACATGCTCAAACCAGAAGGTTTTGAAGAAAAAGAAAAAGAAAAAAAGAACTTGGTTTGCAGATTGAACAAATCTCTGTACGGTCTAAAGCAGGCGCCGAGGTGTTGGTATAAGAGATTTGATTCATTCATCATGAGCCTTGGATACAACAGACTTAATTCAGACCCTTGTGCATATTTCAAGAGGTTTGGTGAAAATAACTTTGTTATCTTATTGTTGTATGTTGACGACATGTTGGTTGCAGGCCCCAACAAAGATCGTATCCAAGAATTAAAGGCTCAGTTGGCTAGGGAATTTGAAATGAAGGATTTAGGATCTGCAAACAAGATTCTAGGGATGCAAATTTACCGAGACAGAATTAATAGGAAGATTTGGCTTTCTCAGAAGAACTATTTGAAGAAAATCTTGCGACGCTTTAACATGCAAGATTGTAAGTCAATTTCTACCCCACTTCCTGTTAATTTCAAGTTATCCTCCAGTATGAGTCCTAGCAGTGAAGAAGAGAGGATGGAGATGTCTCGAGTACCGTATGCATCAGCAGTATGCATCAGCAGTGGGAAGCTTAATGTTCGCGATGATTTGTACAAGACCAGACATTGCACAAGCAGTGGGAGTGGTTAGTCGATACATGGCGAATCCTGGTAAAGAGCATTGGAATGCTGTAAAGAGGGTTCTAAGATACATTCAAGGAACCTCAAATGTTGCATTATGTTATGGGGGATCTGATTTTATTGTCAGTGGATATGTTGATTCTGATTATGCAGGTGATCGTGATAATAGCAAATCCACCACAGGTTATGTGTTTGCACTTGCTGGCGGAGCTGTAAGCTGGGTTTCAAAACTGCAGTCAGTTGTGGCTACTTCAACAACAGAAGCAGAGTATGTAGCAGCTACACAAGCTAGTAAAGAAGCGATGTGGTTGAAGATGGTGCTGGAGGAACTCGGCTATGAAGATCCTCTTGTGGTCTGTCAGAGACGTAAGCAACATGAAGATGGCAAGATAGAAAGAATGGTGTGAAGATATGATTGATATTCAATCAAATCTTCAAGTGGGAGATTGTTAGGCGCCTAATGAAGCCAAGCACCAACCCACCCAGCAGCCAATGTTGAAAAGGAAAAAGAAAATAAAATGGTGGGGCCCACTGCTACAGTAAAATATTAATATTTTATTGTGCATAGTATTTTTTCAAAAAACTATAAATAGGACTCCAAATCCTTAAGAAAATCTCATCCCAGAAACAACTTCTTATATAGAAGAGTGAGAGAGAAAAAATAGAGAGAGTTTCTCCTTGTAAAGAGAGAGAGTTTGTAACTCCAGAGTTTTCTCCTCATAGTGAATTCTTCTATCCTTGCCCGTGGACGTAGGCAATCAAGTGCCGAACCACGTAAATCTGTATGTCCAATATTTTATCTCTACTTTTGTTCTACTATTGCTGCGACCCTGCTCTATTGGGCCCCGGGTTTGTCCCAACAATTACGAGCAAAATATCAGTACTTCATCTTGTAACAACCATTCAAGTACACTTCGAAAAGGGTCTTCCAATTTTATCAAATTCAAGGGGAGAAAAAGTAGAAACAGGGAAAAGGGTTTGTACCTGAATCAAGGAGACGCCTCAAAAATTAGTTGTTGATTGTGGCTGTTCTTGGTCTCAGGATTCTCTGAGCAACTCACGACGTCACATAGAGTCCTATTACAGTAACAGAACTGGTCATTGTTTACTCTAAATATTAAATCACGGCCTAAGGAAAGGAAAAACACAGTAGACAGATCAAGGACCTGCAAGCATAACTTTATTCATTCGTGCAAAAGATAAGAAAGGCCGACTGGTCTTACAATAATGTTGGACATAATCAATACTAGTTGCCCATTACAGTAGCTCAGAAGAAGACTTCAGAGGAGCACAACATTACTCCGAACCCATGGAAACCCTAGAAGGCTCACATTTATTCCACAGCATTATTCTAAAATCCACAGGACATCACTAAGTCGCATCTACGGCTTAGGAGGAACAATAGTTCTAGGATCCCTCTGCAACATGCCAAGATATTCCAGCAGTTCGTTGACAGATCGAGCCACGACATTTACTGGTTTAAAATCTGGTGCCGGTCCTTCAACCACAAGTTTCTGAGGCACCCATACATAGGTAGGATGAGCATCATAGAATAAAACACATCCAGAGAGCTCCCCCCACCGATGAATTAGGGTCTCGAGCCAACTGGGGGCTTTCAAGCTTTGTTGCCATGTCCTCCTCAGATAATTACTAATCGGAACAAACCTCATAGACTCACAGAATGTAACAATCATAATGAGCAATGCTTCGGCTCTTTTCTTGGCGTTTGGTGGATTTTCAAGCCATCGCGCTGCGCTTATAAGCTTCTCACGCCCAAGGGTGACTTCAGTAAGACCTCCTGTTGCGTCGAAGCCAGCTGCGCGTAACAAGGCAGTGTAGTTATGCCCGAAACCAAGAAGTGTTGATTCTTTATCGATGAGGTGCTTATCTCTTCCCTCAATCCCCAGCTCGAACCATTTACCGGCGTCATTCACGCGAAATCCCTGAAAGTAGAGCTGGTCGCATCGGATCCTCAGCCTGACCCTACTCTTTCCATCATTGAAAACCAGTACAATGTCGAACCAAGTGAGCTTCTTCTCAAAATCACGATCCTTTTCGTCGAGTACAGTGATACATACAGGACGATTGCGCGTCCAAGTCTCTGCTAAGTCTTGACGCATCTTCTCAATCTTGCTCACGTAGTTTCCCGCTGTTAGATCATGGCTAAGGCTGATGTCTATGAATTTGATTTCCTTGGCCTCCATTTTCTCACTTCCTGCACTAGATAATTGTATAAAGAATCTTAAAATGAAAATGACCTGATGATTATGTGACTTTGGTTTAGGGGGGGAAAGGTATGGAATGGAATTTAGTCCCACACTGCAAATAGAGTTAGATGATAAATATGTTTGGATTTATGACTCAAGCGGTATTTGATCATTTCGAGTCAATTGGGTACAAATAAATTAGCATAGCCCCCTTGATACCTCAAAGTTTTGATGAGTGGAAGGGATCTTTACAATGATTGCATCTATTCTCAAGTCTTACTAAGGAAAATCATATTGAAAATCATATTGTTAATTAAATGACATACGACAATAATTAAAGAACCAGTGTTAATACCATACCTTCACCTAGTATCTTCAACCCCCTTGAATTTTTGGCTACAGTATTATATGCTTCTTTCTTGTCGCTGTGTTATCTAGGATTAGCAGGGGGGTATTTATAAGTGCTCAGAACCAAACCCTAATAAATTCATGGATGTCATTGTTTTACTTTAACTACACCCACTACCACAAACTTAAACCTTGTGTCCTTCAATGATTCTGCTCTGGCGTCAAACATCGTACATGCATCCAGAGATATTTTTATGTAGAATATGGAGATAAGAATTCACTATTAAAAGAATTGGATAAGAGCATATGCGCATAAAAAACAAAATGGGGTTTCAAAGTCATAAGTTCATACAGTAACCTTTTAATGACACCTTTTGACCAAGGAATTAGATCCTTATCTCCACCTCGTTATTGTTTGACACAAGCTGTCCCTACCTTAATTTATACATATACAAAACAACCAATGAATTTAGGGTTAATTGCACAAAGACCCCCCTGTAGCATCACACTTTTATTTACTCAATTGTGTTCTGATTCTCTGAAGGCCATGTTTGTCCTAGGAGTCTTTCCATATAATCTAAAGATCCATCAGAAAACAGTGTTTTAACTTGGCGTGCGACTTTCTAATGAAGAGGTTAATTGCACATCCAACTACACATTGAAATTTATAGGATTTGAATTTTTTGGCATTTATAAATGAAGAGGTTAATTGCACATCGGACCGCCTGTAGTTCTCTCTTTCATTGATTGTACATAAATTCTTGCTCATACTGTTTCAATTGGCATAACTTGTAATAGTTATACTAGCACATCATCTGCCTCATTAGATTATATCATGTCAAGTAAAATAAGAAAAGAAATAGCATATAACTTAGTTCTTGCAAAATTCTTTGTTCTATAATAAAGTAAGGGTAAGGTGCACTCAAAAAAAATAGAGGGGCAGACAAGACAAATTTGTTTTTTCTTTTTCTTTTTTGGCAAATAGAACCCAAGAATAAAAGAGTGGAAAAATTCACTCAGGGGGTTTATCTATCAAAATCGAACTAAAGGGTAATAAGTTCCAGAGTGTGATACTACAAGGAATCTATATGCAATTAATCCAATATCATAAGACATTGAACCCAGTAGCCTATTGTTTGATATTAGTTGTCCCTACTTCGTTATGTTCAAACAGAAGGCCAGACCAATTTTAAAAAGTAAATATTCAAGACAATGAACCCACTAGCCATAGAAATTTTAATGTTGTCCACTTAGAACACAGTATGACTTTAGATTCCTAGGTCCATGCATCAAACACCTAGGAATCTATATCATGCTAAAGTCAGAAAGAAGCTTGACTTTGATGCACAAAATAGTATCGTTATTTGAAATGAAATAACAATATTCTTCTATTATTCAGATTTGCCTTCACCCTTTTCCTTCTTTTCTAATGAATGACAGACAAGATTGCGCATCAAAGAAATACCCTACCCTTGATTTTTTAACAGACGAGATTTGCCTTCGTCCATTATTTGAGGACAAAAGAGTGTGTGCATTTGGTTTTGTTTAACAGATTTTTGTCGTAGTAAACTATTTGATATTTTTTTATTTAAGTAAATAATTATACCAAGCTCCCAACTTTGGTACTGAATCTGAGTTATAATGTCTAGTCCAACCATATCATATATCTAAGTGAATAAGGTTATATAAACATCCACATGAACACCCAAGATGCAATATATTCTGCTTCTTCACTATAAGTCTAGGGAGACAGAATTTAAAGTTAAAACTTTGGTAAACCAAGAAAGAAAATAAAAACCTGATATTAGCTAACTTCACAGTGTCAAACCTGTTTCGACCTCCTCAAAAGAGAAATTCCAATGATCATAAAATCACTGGTCATAATAATTATAAAAATGAAAGAGAGCACCTAACATGCCAATGGAAGACTCAATTACAATCCTGGATGGCGACGATCACAAATTAAAGTAAATAAGGGAAAAACAACAATACGCATATAAACTAAAATAGTAAAAAAAAGGAAAAAAAATCTTACCAACTGATCAAGGTGCGTGAGGGACAAGTAGGCTTCTATCACCTGTATGCAGTCTCTGTTGGTCGCAAGTTTTTCTCTGAACTTCACCATTTTTGTTATGTAAAGATAGGACATTATGTTGACCGCGAGCTCTTCACATCTTCTGATAATACCTAAAGAGGGAAATAATAGATTAAAATAAAATAACATATTAATTCTTTTTGTAGCAAACTGAGTTTTTACTGAGGCATTAAACTTAAAATATACATATGTCTAATGCATTTTGTACTATATAGTTCTGAGCTAAAGAATCAAATGGTTTTCTATAGTCATCGATTGTTTATATATGCTTTTAAATACAGTAGAAGAAGCAAAAGGTTTTGACAATTAAAAAACGGCTAAATACCCATATTGGTATTTTAATTCCACCCCATTTACCAAGAAGGTATTTTAATTAGGCAAACCCCATATTGGTATTTTAATTCCACCCCATTTACCAAGAAGGTATTTTAATTAGGCAAACCTGTTTTAAGGCATTTTAATTGATTCAACTTACCACCAAGAAGGTATTTTAATTAGGCAAACCTGTTTTAAGGCATTTTAATTGATTCAACTTACCAACAAGGCTATTTTTCTCGTCGGCGACCAGTTTTCTGGCGAGAGCTCGTCACGTGTGTGGCACGTGATGACTTAAACTGTTTTTTAGCTGCTGATGTGGCACGGATTTTCTTACGTGGTAGTGTTTATAAGCTTATTGAACTACTAGAACTGAATACATGTATCTTCTTAGTTATTAACTATACTACCTTCAATGATCTTATTGATGTTTAAAACCACTCCGGCGCCCTTTATTTCCTTAACTGAATGCTATCTATTCGTAAACGGTTTAGAATTTGCTATTACATGCTTGGTATATTTTCATAACAAACCACTGCCTCCTTTAAGTATCTTTTCAACATCTAAATCAATTCAAAACTCTTCAATGCTTAAACTAGTAATAGGTTAATTGCGCTTTAACACCCTAAAGTTTCCTTTGGTGCCTTGAAGTTTAAATTTGTCCAACTGATACTCCAAAGTTTTAAACTATAGTTAATCCCGTTAACAGAGAGCAGGTCAATATACATTAATGTCTTTTTTGTTAATTGTTTCATTTTCTTCTTCTTTTTTCCCTGCAATTTGGTGTTTCTTCCCAGTTTTCCACAAATACCAAAGTTCAATTCCTAAAATTAGGTTAAATTCTGGACAAAAGTATATGTTTTTGTTAATGTTTTTTAAAGTTTTTTTTTTTTTGGTAAATGAAAATTCCATTCATCTTCCAAAACTGAAAGTTTTTGTACATCAATTTCTCAGTAGAACTGAGATAACACTTCTAGTAGCTTATAAACTCAAGTATCTATATAGTACAAATCCATTCCTTGTCCTCTTTCAGATAAGTTCTGTTGAGTATGGTAGTTAGAATGATGAATTTAATCTCCTTGAACAATTTCTCAGCAGGCTTCACTTCTTGTTTGAAGATTTTATTGTTCCTTGCACATCAAATGCTATAAATTGTAGCAGTAAGTGCCATTTTCTTAACTTTTTGTTTGAAGCCATTCCCCCTCAATCTTGAACAATACCAATTCACAATCAAGTCCCAATTACAAGCCCTCCACCTGAATTGTAGCCGATCCATGATCTGTAGCCAAACTTCCCTTGAATATTGACACTCAAAGAAGAGATGATTCCTGCTCTCAATGCCAGTGCATCAACAACATCTATTTTCGTTCACAATTCTCCTTTTAATCAATCTATCTTGTATGAGTAATCGGTCATGAGCTGCTAGCCAACTGACAAATGAGTGTCTGGGTAGGCATGATGTCTCCCACACAGACTTATACCATGGCACTACAGAGGCAGCAGGGGATAGGGTAGAATAAAGTACAGAAAGTTGAATTTTAGAATGCATGAAACAGCTTTGAAGTAGTTGTATCAAGTTGCCAACATTACCATAATCACTCAGAGCTTTATCCCTGACTTTCAAAAAAAATTCCACATCCAAGAATCCCTGCTCTTAGCTTGAATATTCCAGATATCACTGTGCTTTAAATATATGCCATGTATCCACTTGATCCAAAGATTTTCTTTGTTTATATGAATGAGCCACAGAGTTCTTAGAGTTGATGCCATATTCCATATAGGAGTAGAATAGATTCCAAGACCTCCTTGTTTCTTGCATAAACAAGCTTTATCCCATGATATAGGATACATTTTCCGACCCTGGTCAGCTTTCCCCCACAGGAATGATCTACTCATTTCATTAATTTCCCGTAAAACCTTGATAGGCAAGACATAATTAGATGTCCAATAGATTTGAATGCTTAGTATAATGCTTTTGATAATCTGTAACCTGCCAGCATAGGATAGCATCCTGTTTTTCAAGCAAGCTTGGAATTGATTTGATATTCTGGTTAAAAGAGGAGAGCAATCATTATATGTTAACCTTTTGTATATCAAAGGAACTCCCAAGTATTTGATAGGGAAAGCTCCCTCATTAAAATTCAGGATCCTATCAATATGACCTTTAGTGGTTTCATCAACACCCCCCATAGAATACCTTACATTTACCTTGATTTGCTTCCAGTCTAGAAACTGAGCTGCATTCCTTGAAACAATCAAAGAGAAGTTTGACTAAGTAAGAATCACCTTTAGAGAAAAGTAAGAGATCATCCGCAAATATTAGGTGAGTGATCTTATACACACCACAACCAGGATGAAACTTGAAAGCCCTGTTCTCTTTAAGCATCATCAATTTCCTAGAGAGATACTCCATTTCCAAATTAAACAAGTAAGGTGATAAAGAATCACCTTGTCTTAGACCTCTCTCTCCTTAGAAATAACCATGAAGAGAGTCATTCAATGATATGGAGAATCTGGGTGTAGAGATACACACCATAATCCAATTTATGAACTTTACAGGAAACCCAAGGCCAATTAGCATCTCTTTTATGAAGTCCCAGTTAATAGTATCAAAAGCCTTTTTAATGTCTATGCTCAACATAACCCTTGGAGAAATGTGCTTCCTATTATAATTCTTCACAATCTTATTTGCAAGCAGGATATTACTTGAGATATGTCTACCCTTAACAAAGGCAGATTGAGCCTCGTTTATTAGATAACCCATCACTGCTTTAATCCTGTTAGAGAGGATTTTTGAAATTATTTTGTAGAGACGGTTACAACAAGCAATAGGTCTAAAATCAGATGGAGTCTTAAGGCATTTCACTATTGGAACTAAAGTGATGGAAGTAGAGTTAATCATTCCAAGGATTTTCCCAGTTTGAAAAAATTCAGAGATAGCCTTAGTTACCTCATCACCAATAACACTCCAAGTTGATTTGTAGAAGGACACACTAAAACCATCAGGCCCAGGAGCTTTGTTATCATCCATAGAGAAAATTATATTTTTTTTTATTTCATCTCTGGTCACAGCAGAAGATGGGGGGTTTGCTTGAGCTTCATTTAAACAAGGACCATTGCGAATGGTATTATTATCTGATTTGGCAATTGGTGTACTAGAGCCCAGAAGATTCTTGTAAAAATCAACTAGTTCTTGAATGATCATATCCCCATCAGTGATTCTGTCTCCTTCATTATTGTAAATCACCATAACTCTGTTAAGATTCCTTTTAGCTTTGATAGCAGAATGAAAGAAGTTTGAATTCCTGTCACCTTGTAAACACCATTGAATTCTGGACTTTTGCTGGAAGAAAGATAGTTCACACTCAATTAGCTTATTGAGTGAAATTACACAATTTTTTTCCTGAGCAATGAAATCAGGATTTAGAGGACCAGATTGTAGCTTTTTTTAGCATTCTCCAGATTAGCCTTTGCTCTATTAACCTGCTCACTAATGTTGTGATAGCTTTTCTTGTTCAGATCCTTGAGGGCTGTTTTCAATAATTTTAGCTTGCTAGTAACCGAATACATTGCACATCCCGGAATAAGAGTTTGCCAGATAGAGGATACTAAGGATAGGTAATTTTCATGATTGATCCACATCTTGAAGAATCTAAATGGTTTTTTGCCTTGCACACATTCATCATATATAGACACCAAAGCTGGTGAATGATCTGAGCAATTGGGTAATAAGTATTCAACATGACTAGCATTATGTAAATTTAGCCAAGCACCATTTACCAGAGTTCTATCTAGTCTACTCCAAACTTTGGATTTTGCATCTTGTTTATTGTTCCAAGTAAAAAAGCAGCCTTCAGTTTTCAAGTGAGAAAGGTGGCAACTATCAATGAAGTTCCTAAAATCAGTTGTTTCAGCCTCACTAACCATTGCTCCACCAAGTTTGTCCTCCTTTTCAGTTATGGCATTAAAATCACCACTTAGGATCCATAGCTTGTTTCCAATAGCTTGTTGAATTTGTTTTAACTCTGACCAGAGAGATTTCCCATTCTCAACCTGGTTGTAACCATATATAGAAGAAATACGATATTCGATCCTTCCATCTAAAGATTTGGCTGAGCAAGAGATATGCTGAGGAGAGTAGCTGTCAACCTGAATATCCAATGTGTTTGGATCCCATAGTATTAAAATTCTAGTTTTACAAGAATTGAAAACATTTAAAAACCAATTCCAATTGCAAGCAATCTCTTTAGCTATAACTAGAAGTTTGGAAGCCTTAGTTCTAGTTTCAATGAGAGCCATGAAAGAAAGATGGTACTGCTGAATATGAAGCTTAACTGATTGTTGCTTTGAGGACTTGTTTAGCCCTCTAATATTCCAGAAAGAAAAATTCATAGAATTGTGCCTCCCCCTATCTACAGTAGAGGGATCATCGTCTATACCATTAAGATGAGCAAATGAATTCCCTAAATTTGGAAACACTATGAGACCTGATTTTTGCATATGTGATCTTGTCTTGATAGTTTGAAATGCATGCACAGGAATTTCCCCTTTAGAGTAACTTCTGGTATTACCACTACTAGTAGAGCCCCCAAACCCTTTGTCCTGAACACTATGCACATATGAATTATGCTTGCCTGCCATATCTGTCTCAATGTTTGCAGCATCTGAGTTTAGAGCCTGAACATGCACAACATGCACAGCTTTACTTTGGCTATTAGACAATTCCTCACTATTACCCAATTGAGAGATTTGCATTCTAGCACCATTCTCCTTCTGAATTTGAATATGATCTAATTGAGCTCCTATCAAATCAGAATTCTCCCCTTGAAAGTAACTTCTGACATTACCCCTACCAGTAGAGCCCCCAAATCCTTTGTCTTGAACAATATGCACATAATTAGGTGAATTATACTTCCCTACCATATCTGCCCCAATATTTGTAATATCTGAGTTTAAAGTCTGAACATGCACAACATGCACAGCAGTGCTTTGGCTCTTAGACATTTCCTCATTATTTCCTATTTGAGAGACTTGCATTCTAACACCAGTCTCTTTCTGAAATTGAGCATGATCTGATTGAACTCCTGTCATATCAGATTTACCACCCATGTTTCCAGGTATAACCTTTGGAACCCATCTTTGTATTTTAGGGTGTTTTTTACAGTAATTTGTGTCATGCCCTACAAGCTTACAACTATCACACCACTTAGGCTTTAATTCATAGATCACCCTCTGGTTATAAATCCTACCATTAGGTCCATGGATTGGAATAATATCAGGAAGAGAAGAGGGCATGTGAACCTCAACCAAGACCCTTGCATAAGCTAGCCTTTGTTTACAAGCATCAGTGGCAATTGTCTTACCAATATGACTAGCTATTTTAGTTATAGCATTTGAACTCCACAAATTAAGTCTTAGCCCTGGTAGCTGAATCCACAAGGGATAGACATTTTCATTTATCTTTTCGAGATCATCTTCATTAGACCAGGTTTTCAGAAGGAGGGGTCTAGAGCCAAAAAACCACGGGCCATTCACAAGAATGTTCTCCATCTCTACCTTATTTTCGAATTTGAACAAAAACAGACCTGGTTTGAGTAAACACAAATCAAGCGCTGACCAGTGAATCCAAGCTTTATGCACAAAATTTTCCATGGCTTTAAATTTAACATTTAAGCCTAAAACTTGACCAATTAAAGAGAATTGCCAATTTGCATTTCCTTCACTCCATTCCTCCTCACTAAAAGACACAAAATCATTATTATCAAGCTTCACAAAATTCAAATTCATACCATTTCCAGATTTCCTGTTATCCGCAAATAGGCTAACCCAACTTTTCTTGATATTATTGCTCCCAGAATCAAGAATTTCTGGATTCTTTCCTTTATCATCAATGTTTTTTAAAGTTATTATGTAATATATGCTAGTTAGTGTGTCTTTATTAAAGAAAACATTATCTTCATTGAAAATTGAACAAAACAATCCACAATCATGATAACAGCATATGCAAATTGAATGAGAGTTTTTCTTACCAATTTTCACTGCTTTCTGTTGGAAATAGGTGAAGAAATGAATTGGGGTTTATGCAATGTGTTCCATTTTAAATAGATGGAGGACGAAAAAAGGGATTTGGTGGGGAATCTTTTTAAACTAAGAGAATAAAAGTCCAAAAATATCATGAAAACATAAACAGAATTTCCAAGGTATAATTACTTGGACAAATTTAAACTTCATGGTATCAAAGTTAAATTTAAAAATAAAAAAAAGAGTAAAACTTTGGAGTATTAAAGCACAATAAACCCTTAATAATATCAATATGGAAATGCTTTTAATAGTAAAAATTCAGTGTCGTGAAACATGCTTTTAATAATATCAATATAGAATCCAAAACAAAATTTATTTCAATGTAGATTCCCACCACCTCCACCTAAGACATAAATGAAGAGGAAACAACGAGGTTCAGAAAATTGGAGACGGAACCATTTGGAAGTTGCGCGATCGATCGTGGGTGGCGCGGCGGTCGACCGCGGGTGGCGCGGCGGTCGACCGCGAACGTGCACAGCACAGGGAAAAGTCACTGGACTTTTGGCGGTCGACCGCGTCAACTGGCGCGGCGGTCGACCGCGAGACACTGTAATTGGTTTTTGTGTTCTGTCGTTTTCCACGATCGACCGCGATGGGTTCGGCGGTCGACCGCGGGTCGAGTCTAGGCCTAGGCTTGGTTTCCTGTTCTGTTTGGAATTGGTGTTTGCTATAAATACAAACACACGTATTAGGATTTCTTAGCTTTGGTTGGTGATTGAATTTGGGATATTTGGAGCACAAAAAAGATGTATTTTCTGATCTATTGGTTAGGATTTTATTTGGAGAGAATTAGAAATTTGTTGGTGAGATTAATTGATGAGTTCGAGTGATTTGTAATCTCAGTTTGTACTCTCCTTCTCTATTAGTGAAAACACCATCCCCTTCTTACCCCGTGAACGTAGGCAACTTACCGAACCACGTTAAAATTGGTTGTTTGTGTTTGTACCGTTATTTTGCATTATTTGACCTTCTCTCGGTGTTTGTTTGTTTTGGTCTCTCGAAGTACATCGGTTTGGTTTTGGCTTCCGCCACGCACAATAAGTGGTATCAGAGTTTGGACTACGCTTGGGCTAATTGGAGGAGTAGATCGCTTTGGAAGTTTGTCTAGGACTTCAGTTGGTGATAAATGTGAGATTTTTCTTATTTGTGGATCTCGTTTTCGTCGTGTGGAGTGAGATCTTTCGGAGAGCCTTATTAGGGTTTCAGTTGGAGGTAAAAATCTCTTTTTTCAGTTTGGATCTATTCTTTGTTTGTTTCGCATTGTTTTGTTGGTGCTTTGAGAATTATGGCTGAGAAAGAAGGATTTGAGGCTGGGATATTTGATTGTTGATACGGTGCATTGAATTATTGAGAAGTGTCTTGATCTGCATATTGAAGTTCTTTGAGCACATTGGTATGAGCAAAGAGACCGAGGTGGATTTTGGCACTTCTATCCATTGATTGAGAGGTCTTATAGGTGGTGTTCATTCAGGCATTTGGGAGTCTTCTAAGAAGGCATCATTGGAAGGTAATCGATATTTGGTTTCTTTTGTTAACGATTGTTCTAGACATGTTTGGGTTGCAACCATGTCCCGTTTGAATGAAGTCCTAGTAGTCTACAACATGTTGAAGAAGTGTAAGAAAGACAGAAGAATGAAGATACTTCGTTCTTATTTTAGTGAGAAGTACAAAAGAGATCCGTTTCTGTATTCGTGCCGAGCTCACGGCAGTTTGAGACACTTTATTGGAGGGAAAACATTGGGGCAACGAGATGAGATGATATTTTTGATTGGTCGTTCCTTTCTGGAGGAGGACCAGCGTTTGATGTCGAGCATTGATTCTGGTGTTGAGGCTTTGATATGTTTGAGTCATCTTAGTCATAGGTTGTCGACTGCTGCGTTTGGAGATTTAGGATCTGGTAGAGCTGCTTTAGATTTTGGGTTACGTCGGATGTTTGGTTGTCTAACATTTGATCACATCGAGGATGTGAGATTTGATTTGATAGCACATTTGGGATTCAGAGGCTCGTTTGGTTATCAGTTGGGAGCTTCTGATTTTGTTCTGAGCAGGAATATCATATTTGACTCTCAGCAAGTAGAGTGTTGATCAGATCGTTGGGATATCACAGCAGGTGGAGTGTGATGCTACTTCACGTTAGATGAAGATTACTCCACATACTTCAGATCATACTGCATCGTTTGGGATTCCAGCTAAGATGACACAGTTTGGGGATCATTTAGATTTGGATGCAGATGATGAGTTGGTTGATTCGAGTACAGCTGGTGGACATAGTTTTAATTTGGATATGGTCGTTGGTTCATCTCAGTTGGAGGTGTTTGGTTTGTTTCACTTTGGGACCATTGGGAGAGCTAGCCGCAAATTTATTGGTGAAGAGTTGTGAACTCTTTTATTTGATTGAGGGACTTTGGAGGCCATTTGGGGAACTATGTGAAAGCTTGATTCCTTGGACAAAAGGATACGTAGGCAGTCGGTTTTGATGCAGCTGATTTGATGAGTAGATACCGACGTTTAGAGAGTAATCACATTCTCATTTGAGTCTCGACTTGTTGTAGATTGAGTCTGTTATCGTGGTTTTGTTCCACTTCGTACTGGATGCAATAAGTGACATTTATTTTGGTTGGTATCGGCTCAGTTTTGGAAAAACTTCGCCGAGGTAGAGAATTGAAGAGGTAACAACAAGGTTCAAAAAATTGGAGACGGAACAATTTGGAAGCTACGCGGTCGACCGCGAGTGACGCGGCGATTGACCGTGAACGTGCACAGCACAGGGAAAAGTCTTTGGACTTTTGGCAGTCGACCGCGATGGATTCGGCGATCAACCGCGGGTCGGGTTGGGCCTGGGCTTGGTTTCCTGTTTTGTTTGGAATTGGTGTTTGCTATAAATACAAACACACGTATTTGGATTTCTTTAGCTTTGATTGGTGATTGAATTGGGGATATTTGGAGTACAGAAAAGATGTATTTTCTGAGCTATTGGTTAGGGTTTTATTTGGAGAGAATTAGAGATTTGTTTGTGAGATTAATTGATGAGTTCGAGTGATTTGTAATCTCAGTTTGTACTCTTCTTCTCTATTAGTGAAAACATCATCCCCTTCTTGCCCCGTGGACATAGGCAACTTGCCGAACCACGTTAAAATTGGTTGTTCGTGTCTGTGTTGTTATTTTGCATTGTTTGACATTATCTCGGCGTTTGTTTGTTTTGGTTTATTGAAGCACATGGGTTTGGTTTTGGCTTCCGCCGCGCACAACAATAAAATCCATATATAAAAATTCAGAGAATCAAGATGAACAAGATACAGAATAAAGATGAACAGGATTCAGCTTACATCCAAAAGACATGAAATGCGAAAACAGAACCTACCCAATTTCCCTAATTGCCTAAAATGTAATGAAAAACATCCACAATTATGAATGCTTCATCCGAAAACGGCCCATTATTTTATACTTTAATTTGAAAAGGGTCCTCAATGCTACCAAATCCAAGAAAAAGAGAATAAATAGGGACAAGGGTTTATACCTGAATCGTTCCAAAGCCCCAGCTGACGGTGGTACTTGTTGGTTTTCCTTTGCAAAAATCACTAGTGAGAATTTTCTGTGCGACGTGCTTATTCAAGGAAAATTTAGTTTGTCCCCTTCTTTAGACATTAGCTTCTGATTCACCCCCCGAAACTTTGAGGTTTAATATTAGAAATTTAATTGTTTTATGGGTTTTTCTTCATATGCAGCCCTCTGATCTATCTATTTTGCATATTTCTCTCAAAATCTAGATTTTTGCTAATTTCCCTGCAAATCTCCCGTACTGATTTCTTCTACCCGTTAATGTCAATATTACTGATATACCCCTGATTAAATCAATTAACTTATTGACGTAGAATTAGATACAGAAAGTGATATTTGAAAATTGAGAGGTGGGAGGAATAAATTTAGGAGAAGTTGGGGTAAATTATCAGATATCTAAATTTGGAGGTAAAAGATATAAGATTATTTTATTGGAAATTGATGATTACACCTAAATTTTGTTTTTTCTTTTTCGCTTTTTAACTAGAAATTTAAAGGAGGGTAAAATATCACTTTTCAAATCCCGGAAGGATTATCTGGCACTTTTTTTTCCAACTTCTAAGGATATTTAAATAAATCTTGATGAACTGTTCTAGTTAACTTTTTATTAAAAAACTGTTCTAATTTTTTTATTTACTAATGGTTAATTAGGTTATCATTCTATGTAAAAGATTATAAAATTATTTTCTGAGTGGCAAAAAAGGGGATTCATTATCACATTGTTTCATAGATATAATTTTTCTGTTATATGTGATCGACACGAGGATTTAACATCAAGCATGTCATAACTATTCTCATGACTAGAATAGCGTTGTTCTTAGATTAGGCCAGCTGGTTGGAAACTATTTTCTACTTAAGGTAGGGCTGAGCATGGTTCGGTCCAAACCGAAAAAAACGATCGAACCGGCCCGAACCGATCCGAAAAAATCGGTTTTATGAGTATGGCGGTTCGGGTCGGTTTGAAAACTTTTCAACCCGAACCGAGCCGAACCGACCGAATATAGTGCAATACTACTCATTCTGATCTCAAACCCTACCCGACCCGTCTCCAAAGAGTCAAAGACTCAAACCCTAAACTCATTTTCTGAATCATTATGAGTTGAAAACAATATCATTATATTAATTTTTAATGCTTCATAATCTCCTACTTTGTTGATATCTTTTTTTTCTTTAACACAGTTTGTTGTTTGATAAGAAGTTTGATAAAGTTAGAACCGAACAAACCGAACCGAACCGCATCGAACCGACTTGCAACAGTTGGGTTCGGTTTTGAATTATAGGCGGTTCGGTTCGGTTGTTCAAATTTTAGTAAAAACCGAACCGAACCGACCGTTGCACACCCCTAACTTAAGGGCATGTTTGTTTCAAAAAAAAATTATGGAAAAAGCTTGGATTCCATGGTCATTTCTACAAAGCCATGTGACGTTGTACTAGTTTCCACTCATTTCTATACGGTTCTCTTAGGGGGTGTTTGGTTCACCCATTTTATGGAAAAGTTTTGAGAAAATATCAGACAATGGTACTTTTGTAAATAATAGATTTTTGTAGATTTATGTAAACCATGTTTGGTTCAAAAAAAATTATAGAAATATTTTCTATAAATTAGGAAAAAGTGGGGTATTTTATAGAAATCAGTTTCCTCTCCAAATGAGAGGAAATTGCCAAGAAATCTGACAACTTATATTAAAATCATAATTAAGTACATCATTATCATTTTTCATGTGATTTCTCATAGGCACTGTTAGTAATCTATTTTCTATAAAGTGATATCCAATCAAACAAAAGAAAAAGAAAACAACATATTTTCTAATAAGTTAGGAACTTTTTCATGATTTGAACCAAACAAATAAATAGCAAAAAAGAAAAAAAGAAATATAGTACTCTTTGAGTTCTATAAAACTTTTCCTATAAATTTTATACAAATACAAGGAAATTAAAATTTGAGCACTTTTTCTTTTCCTTTTCCTTTTTTTATAAAAATTGAACCGAACAGCCCCTTAGTTTAGTTTGTTTACAACTTAGTTTGTTTACAACTTTGAAACCACAAGAAAAAGTGAGGTAGCTTACTCACATTGGTTGATTGATGTGATTCTAATTTAGGAAAACCCATTTCAAATCTTTTGAAGTGGATTGAAATCATTTCTGAGGTTTCTTTTCTAATTTCCTCTTTTTAGGTTTTTCTAGAAAATGAACCAAGCGGCCATAGAAACTCATTGCACTTCAGAAAGCAAAAGATTTTGGCTCCGTAAAAATAAATAACTACGTCGTCTCAGAAATCATTCAAGCAGACGACTTGCGCAGAAGTTAATATAAAAATGTTGAATCATTCACTAAAAGAAAAATTGAAGATGCTCATTACACCACATAGGATCCAATTACAAATTCCATAGGCCTCAAATAAGAGGTGCTTCTCTATAGAAGAATCATAAGAGAATGAAATACAAACAATCAAGAGTTTAAACACATAATGTCCTCGCCCAACATTTTCAATTTTTGAGAAAATTACACCTGTTAAGCTGTTCCGGCAACACGAACATGGAAAGGGGACCCACGGCAAAAGATGGGACCCTCGGGTGAATCAGTTCTTGCACGGGCCCGGAGTACATCAGTAGCGTCGTCTATGACAGCCGCAGCGAGTAGTGTGTAATCTCCAGGTACAAGAAAGTAGAGGGAGAATGGATGCGTTACTTCGTGAAGAGGGGGAACCTCCAAACTGATTCCTCCAAGGATGCCTATAGGAGAAGAAAAGATGCATGGTTAAAAATGAGGGTGCGGCATGAGCACATAAGGAACCGGTAGTATCAATTTGGAGTTGCATGTATGTCTGACGCATTCATGTGCATGCACTAACAGCAAAAGACACGATTTTTTTTTTTTAATATGCATTGCTATTTGCATGCAAAATATTACTGTTTTCTATATTTCTCCAAATAACATCAGTTTTTTACGCTCCCGTCTGTGCTTCTGAGATGGCAATATGGCAATGGGACATAAACTAAGTAAATTAATCAGCAATCAAAGTAGTTCCGGTTGAGTATGAGATGAGGAAAGATCACTGTAAAAAGGCCTGGGTAAGTGCAACAAAAACCAATTTGTCAGCTAGAAACGAGAAGCTTTTCCTGATAAATTTGTGACTGAAAAACTAGAAGGACCAACCAGATAGTAAAGAGGGTCATACACTTGCTAATGTAGCTAGCAGATTGCTTTCAGGAGAATAGCGGAGAAAACAGATTAATTTAGCCATATAGATTTGTGGTGTGTGGTAAGTGTGTACAGGAGTTGGTTTAGTATGATGACTATGATCACATAATAAAGTCATGTACAATATGAGCCCACAGTGCCCGCAGGAGTCTTAACATGTATGGTATAGTGCTTAGCGCACCAAATTACACCCTCTAAATAATTGATAAATCTAGCGTGCAGACGTGTGTTTTGAGTTGCCTGTGTCATAAGAATTGGAAAAACTTGTCATGTCTAAATTGGAAAAACTTGTCATGTCTATGTATATTGGGTCTACATGCACAAATAAGTTATCAAGCAAAAGATCTAGAGCAGAAATTTGCACATTCACATATTGAAGGTACATATGAAAAATAATGATGTGCCGAAACTATGAATGAGATGCCACTCAATTCAAAAATATTGAAGAAACATACCAGACCACAGGACGGTTGAGCTGCCTCCTTCGATGCAATTCTCACCTGCTACATCTCTGCATGCTATGCTGAGGCTCATTCGGATACTTTCCTTGGTATTATTCCGAATGGAAACCTCCATGTTCGTCATTTCATGAGCTGATACATAATCTTTAGATCTTAAGGTGCTTTCTTCACCATTGTTACCAGAAGCCTCAGCTGATAAAACAGAGGCCATATTTGAGTCCACTACATTATCCATCCTCTCTGTTTTATCGCCATCTTTTGCTAGCCTGAACTCATAACTTAAAGGGTCAGGAAGTAATATGTCCATAACTGAACTTTGCAGTGCAGCTTGGGTTGCATCCTTGATGTTCAACTCGCCCAAGCTATTCCGTCCAGATTGCCATCTTACTTTTATTTTTGAGATCAAATTGTTGATGGAAGCATTCAGCTCAGCTTTGGTATTCCACTCAGTCATGCTTGAGACTTCACTACCTAAATGATCATTTGTCTGAAAATCCTTTAAAAAGAAAGAACCATCAAGAACAGGCAGTTTAAAGTGTTCCAGTGGTATTAGCACCCGAGCAGAGTAATCACGGTCAATTCTCGTTTTAAGACACCCTAGTTCACCAGAACCATGTTCTTGCTTGCTCTTTTGAGTATCTAACTGGACAGATACATTAACTTCAAATACAACATCGGTAGGATTGGACAACTCAAGTTCAAGAAGATGCAAACCCCAGCTTCCTCTGTACAAATCGAATTTCACAAATTGGTCTGCGGTGTCACGAACATGGAGCGCTTTGGTAACATTTTCAGCAACAGAAACATTTTTTGGAAGGGTTTTCCCAACATGTGCAGGAATTTCCATAGATAGTAAACGAGCTTTCACAAATTGTAATCCCTGTAATATAGATACATGCAATGGAACAACCAGTCGCCTTCCTGGAGTCACAGGAAATTCAGTGCTTGACGATTGACTGGGATGTGACAATGGCCCTGGAAAACAAAAAAATGGGATAATGATTGAGCAATTGAATTTTTCAAACAAGCAAACCATATAGAAGGGACACGTTGAAAATAGTATTCGCTTTTTACTTAAGTACTAATTTAGGTGCAGAAGGACCTAGCAGAGACTTCAACATCTAATGAAAAAACATATATACCTTTTCATTCATAACCTATAAACAACTTACCCTTAGTTGTTAAAAGTTCATATAAGCTGGTGAATTTTACAGAAATACAAAACTTCACAATCTAATTTGTTGGTATTACTCTATAATTGATCTGCAAGTTGATTTTATATGATCCAACAAGAATTCTAATAGAACTTAATGATGGCTGCAAAAACAGATTTGATGGAAATATAGTAATCAGGATAATAAAGTTGAATGGGAAGTTTGATCCTTTTCTAGACCAGCAAATCCAAATGTGAGTAACATACCTGCATGTCGCACCAGAACCTTTTTTATTGGAATTATTATAATAGTAAATAAGACATAAGAAAGAAAATGACCTCATATAAATTGGATGTGTGTTACTAATACTGGTATTCCGCCTATGGAAAAGATCCTTCATTCACATGCATGGATTAGTTCTTAATGAAGAGGCATCCAATGCTATAGTACGTAGAGAAAATGGAAAGCCATTGAAAACCTTGCTCAAAACTTCTTCGAGAAACCATATGCACACATGATCCCATTAAGGGATAAAGAATACCTAAGACTGGATGAATCAAGATTGCATGAAGGGACCCCAACAAAAAAAAGGAAGAGAGGAAGGAGGAGAAGAAGAGGAAAACTGACGAAAAGAACTCTTGTTGTGCACATAGATGATGATGATGATGATGATGCTCCACATAGATCATGTCAAAGTGGACTTCATGCATCTTACAGTACTCAAATGGTTACGAAAATCAACTTGTGTGCTCCTATAAGATTTGAAAAAACTTACTCTGTATATGAAGAGATTTGAACCCCCGACGTCCCACAAAGAAAATTGTGATACGGTCTAAAACTACTCTCAGTTGGTTGCTCAAACAAAATTAGAGCAGTTAACTGACACTGCATCTCTCCAACTTTTTGCTCATCGTTTATACTGGGAATAGCATAACTATCCAGTGTCAAGACTAAAAAGTAAGCTTCAGATTGTATGTGGATCACAAAAGCACAAAGTGTAAGATCATCTATGAAGAATATACCATTGAATTTTCTCCTTTCCATTTCATGTCTCCTCTGGCAGAATGTTTTTTAATCCAAATAGATTTTATTTATGATATTCATTAACTAAATGGAAGTTCATGGTCATAGCCCCATACTATAGGATTAAATAAAATCTACCACATAAAGAAGATATACACTACATCAACCTGTAATATTTTTTTTCCTGATTATAGCCATTAGTGTTACTGGACAAAAATATAAAGAATTAGAAAACAGAAGATAAAAAGGGCTGAGGGGCAAAAGGACTATAAGGGAAGGAAAGATCTACCAGCATAGTGAATAACCAACAATGGACTGCTTCCTTCCTTGGATATCCTTCGTGTATTTCCCGACGTGCTCCTCCCAGTTTCATTCTCAGAATCGACCAAGCTAAGTTGCCATGCTTTTATCGTTATTGGAAGCGTCACTTCTGCACCTGGTTTCAGAGGCAGTGCTGACCTCAAAGTTTCATGAGGTATTGAAATAACAGAGTCTTGGTTTTTTCCAGTCAGGGATACATGTGCCTCCTCAACTGGCACAGTTCCAGCATTGGTGAGACATATCCAAATATCCCGAATTTCGCCTTCATACAAAATGGCAGCACCATCACCTCCAACAACATGAGGGACTAAAAGAGGCAAAGGTGGTACTACAGAAATGCTTGGGACAGGCACATTTTTATATTTAGTTGAGCCACAACATCTGAAAGGATCTGAAAGAACAAGACCTTGCGCTGCTCCAAGAAGCAAGTTATCAACTTCCTTGAAAAGGTGTTCTGTAATGACACCAAAACAGTGTACAATGCATCCAGGTATTGTGACGGGTCCCAATTTAGTTGGAATTCCTGAGAGCAAGATCACCTTGGAGGTATTAGGTGGAAGGCTCACACTTACAGGAAAAGCATCCACATTCCCAGAATGAATTGAAAGATAAATACTTTCGACCAGTAAGTCAAAGCCACAGGGATTTGCTAATTCAACCAAAACTTGAACTGGCTCCCCAACGATCCAAGTTAGCTCCTGCTTAGTGCTGTCAGTAGACCCACCCTTACTAAAAGGAGTGTAAATAAAAGGTCCAGAAGGAGCTGCACCAGTCCACCACTCTTTCTTTCCTGGATTACGCTTTATGATATCCACTTGAGAAGGATGGAGTGAAAATGAATGTAACCTGAAGGAATGGTAGCACCCAGTACTCATTGATTTGAACATTGGAAACCATCCTGATTATTATGATACAACCACTCAACTAAATCTTAAAAAAATCTATTTATATGTTGCATAACTTGCAAAGGAAGGAGAAGCAATCTCTAAAAAGAACTTTGTTTAATAAGAATAGAAAGGCTTGGTAACTACCATAGTGAACTAAGGGCTAATGGTATACAATCGAGAAAGCATGTACCACAGGGGGTCAAGAAAAGGATCTTCCCTTCATCAATCACTATATCAGTAAGTGAAGAACATGACAAACTGAAAGAAACATGATTATCTACAAGAAGAAACTCAGACGAGAGAATACAAAACAGATGAAGCAGTAATTGTTTAAAGCAAAGAGATTGCAGATGTAAGGTTTACATTATTTGCAGCACAAGAATTGTACTCAATGCTCATTAGGTCAACCTAACATGCGCAGATTAATTATTTTCCAGATTTTACGGTGAAGTGAGATAATGTCAACTTCCAATAAGATATGGTCTACAGAGGAACAGTAAATAACAAATCATCTAATATATTCTGCCTTTCACTAAGAATAGCTAAAATAACCATTCAGTTTTATGTAAATTTCAACAAACACTAATCTATCCTTTATAACAGCATTTAGAAATTAAAAAGGCTGTGAGGACTTGAGAGTTAACTGAAGAAAAGAGAACTTCCTCAGATTATCACATCGTGGGAAAAGATGTTGTAAAGTAAGAAAACAGGACACCTGACAAAAGGAAGGGCAGGATCCGCACAGCGAGTCCCAGCTGGAAGCCTTTCAGCAGAATTGGTAAGTGAACTTGCAAGACCACTTTGCCCTGCAGGTGTAATGAGAGGATAAAATAATCTGAGTAGACGCGCAGCTGCGCTCCATGCAGCAAGAGGGTCTCCAGCACGAACTGAGGACATCAATATTTCCCTTAAAACAACCATTTGTAGGGTACTCCATTGAGATTCAAACAACGAGATTATTGACTGGGGATGCACTTTTCCACTCTCTGTATGACTACATCCAAGTTCCTAAAACAAAATAAGAACAAAATATAACTGGCTTGTATAATAAATAACAAAAAGGATGACAGTAAAATGCTGAAGTTCATAGCACACAATTTACCAGAGTTACTTTAAGAATCAAATACTGGCAGTGTGACAGATAGTGCAATGGCATCATCAGATGGAGATGATCTTCAATCATGATCCTCATTCACAATCTCAAATCATTTAATCGATTTTATCAAGTATTTGTCTCTATTAAATTGCATGGGAATAATTGACCACAGCAAAATTTGATATACATCATCCACAAGAAAGAGGTATCTAGACATTAAGTGTTCCTACCTCTGCTGAAATCAACATTGGGATCTGGTGAGACTCTACCCAATGACAGATCCAAATGTGCTAGGACAATGACGTTTCTCTCAAAAACGTCGTTGTAAATAAAAAGGATAGATATCCAGATTAAATTGAGTAAATATATTAAGGAAACATAGAAAAAGGAGGAAAAAGGAACTGTATAGTAGTTGGGGAAAACCTGCATGTGGTTTGTTATCAATCAAATTCATCACATGGGACAGCCAACTTAAGAAGAGTAAAATGTTGTAAGACTAAGTAAGTTGATGCTCACAGCAGGCGATGAATGTAGTTTTGGGTTGGCCCCTCTACTTTGAACATGGTATGCCTTTGAAGTCAATGACAAGACTCGCATAGCGCTTATAGCTGCACATGCATTATCTTGTTGCAGATACAACTGAGAAATTTGCCTCGAGAAGAAGGCTGCTTTGCGCTGATAACCGAGACTGCCAAATAATCTAGCTATTTCAACATATAATATCAGGCGATCATTAGCATCAATCAGGGACTTAGCTCCTTCGGCAGCTCCCGTCAACAACTCAGTCACCTCCTTCGCAAGCTCACGCCTGCCAGATGAAGATTTAAAACACTAAAGTTTAAGATTCAGAATCTGTAAGCATGTATTAGCACATTTAAAACTAATTACTGCAAAAGATAACCCTTGTTTACAAGAATTAGATAAAGTAAAGAATACAGCAGAGAGGAGCAATAGCTTAAGGGAAAAGGGGGAGAGAGAAAAAGAGTAAGAT